CTGAGTTTACCGCATACCTGCTTTGCCCTGGCAGAGATGGTCCTGAAGATCTGCCTGGTGATATCTGTCCACAGGTCTTTATCTGGTTGGTTTTGTGGAGCTATGAGAAGGCACCAGAAGCTGTCTTCTGGCTCTTGGTGTGAGGATGGTATAAGGGGAAGAGGAAAAGGAAAGGAGGAGCAGACAAGAGACACCACCTGTCTTATTTCTACGCCTCTATATCCTCATTAACAATTGGTAAGATCTGGGGCTCCTGGGTGGCACAGTCAGTTAAGCATCCAGCTCCTGCTTTTGGCTCGGGTCATGATCTCACGGTTTGTGAGATCGAGCCCCCCCACCCTGTCAGGCTCTGCACTGACAGCCTGGAGCCTGCGTGGGATTCTCCCTCTCCCTCTCTCTCTGCCCCTCTCCCACTTGTGCATGCTCTCTTACAAAACAAATAAATAAAACTTCTAAAATATTGGCAAAATCTAATAGTGCCCAACTCAGAGAGTCCTTGTGAAGATTAAGAATGTTAGGTTAACTAAACAAGGAGACCACTAGACTGATGTGGTTCTAATCCCTCTGCAAGCAAACCAAAATCTAAGTCTAGAAATGCCTCAGTTATGAAATAAAAATGCTAAAGACAACCACTCACAAATAGCCAGCCAGGTTTCAAGGTATAGCCAATCAATAACTCCTTTACTTCGCTTCTGCATTTTCTCTATGCATGTTAAGTCTTTCCCCTGGATTCTGTTGGTAGAGCGCTCCTGACTACTTTCTGTTCGATGCTGTTCAATTTGAACTGATTCTTTGCTCAAATAAACTTAAAAATTTTAATATCCCTCAGTTTGTCTTTTTTTTTTTTTTAATGTCTTATTTATTTCTGAGAGAGAGAGAGAGAGAGAGAGACAGCATGAGTAGGGGAGCATCAGAGAGAGAGGGAGACACAGAATCTGAACCAGGCTCTGAGCTGTCAGCACAGAACCCAATGTGGAGCTTTAACCCATAAACCGTGAGATCATGACCTGAGCCGAAGTTGGACGCTTAACTGACTAAGCCACCTAGGCTCCCCCCTCAGTTTGTCTTTTAACAAGAAATAATACAAGTGTTCCTGGCTTAATAAATGTGAGCTATTTTTAATACCCATAAATGTGATCTTTAAAAAACAAACACGGCACCTGAGTGAGTCAATCGGTTGAGGGTCTGACTTTGGCTCAGATCATGATCTCATGAGTTCGAGCCCCACATGTGGCTCACTGCTGTCAGCACAGAGCTTGCTTCAGATCCTCTGTCTTCCTTTCTCTTCTCTCCCCTACTCACACACTCTCTCTCAAAAATAAATAAATAAATAAAACATTTAAAAGATGTGCAAAAAATTAACAGTAGTTTTTATTAAGTAAAAATACCAGTTACAAAATAGTACTCACAAAAAATACACATATACACATACACGCATGCGTGGAAGAAAGGAATTACAGTAAAATCTTAAGAGTGATTACTTTTAAAAGTGGATTATCCCTAATTTATTTTTCTTCCCATGCTTGTCTGTATTTGTACAGTGAACATTAATTCCTTTTGTAGTAAAAAACACATTATTCTTTAAACAGCTGCAGGAATCAATCCCAACAAGGTTCATTATCAGTCCTTTTTCTCATGTCTCCTCAAATATAGATTCAAGAAGGTCTAACATCAGTCCTTGTCCTCGCTTTTCTCCAAATGTGGTTTCATTTTAGTTAGGAGCATTATTGCCACCCCATTGGTACCTTCCAGCTCCAAGAGAGAAGCATGTTTGCATTCTGGTAGGAGCTGGAAGTTACTCTGTCCTACATTTCTCACCTGTGCTTTAGTAAAGACGCCTGAAATTTCTAACAAAAGATCTTATTTGCTCACAACTGTGCTGGTTAAGGAGCCAGATTTGCAGGCAGGTTTGGATCGGGCATGACTTCCCAAGATCTGCAATAGGAAGGCTAATTATTTGGAGGGCTGTCTCTTTGCACATGCTTTATTAATCAGTGGGCATTGCCATAAAAAAATTGGCTTTTGGTTGAGGCAGCCTTCTGGGGGTGGCTCAGTGGAACAGCTGCTCTAGACTGGAAAGTGCCAGTCTCTGACTGGGTGTGCATATGAACCACCTGGGGATAGCTGGGAGCGCCTGAAAGCAAGCATTCGTCAGCGGAGCAATGCATTCCCTGGGCTCTGTTTGGAAATGGGAGATGTCGTGTTGTGTTTCCATTGCCTCTCTGCTAGAATCCAATGAATAGCATTGTATGATGTTGTGGAATCTGGGTGATTTTTGGTGGTGATAATGGGTTTGAGGAGTAGGGAGGAGGGTGGTGATGTGCTGTCCATGGTCCAATTGGAAACTAAGGATAGAAGCAAAGAGTTAAGAGTTAGATGTCTGTGCCTGTGAATTGCCCTCCACCGCAACTTAAGCAGTGCTTCATATTTTGATCTGCTTTGGCACGTTTTGATTTTGGGCAAGGATACAGCCTTGTCCATGTTGCCAGAGGCTGTGTATGTAATAGAGGCATCACATGCAGTGACAGCCTTGTAGAAAAAGCACTGTGCCCTGATACAGATCAAATGGGAGCATTCCCATCAAAAAGTGCAGCATGTGTTGTTTTTTTGTATCCCAGTGGTAATTTGGTGGCTCAGGGTCAAATTCAGTGGCTGTCCAGGTGTGTATGACACTCAGCGATGCTGATGGATGCTGAACCTGACATCCCCTGGCAGTCTGGTTCTTAGGTGGAGAGGCAGCCTTTCTGGGGAAGCTTTCTGAGCAGAGGGTCCAGGACTGGGGATACAGAACCCTGAATGCTGGCACCCTGGGTTGTTCTGATCTTGGGCAGGATTCTGATCCTTAGTGAGAGATGGACAGCTAAAAGCTGAAGCACAGGGATTATTCATTCTCTTTATTCCTTATTCTTCCTCTGGCTATTGCCTCTCTCTCAAGCCTTCCAGAAAGTGAAAGGCAGAAGAGGGAGGAGATGGAAGTCAGAGCATGGTTTCTCCTCCTAATTTATTAGTGGCTCTAATCAAAAGTATTGTGTATGGGGGAAAACTAGTGGTAGGTAGGGATAAAAAAATGTTGGGTAATTTTGGGTTTCAAACATTCTCTCTGTGTTTTATTGCCAGCACCAATGACCACTTTCTGTATGTGAGGGGCAGGGCCTATAGACTATAATTCTGTATTTGGTGTTAAAAGTTTGCATTAATCCATTTTTTTAAATAAAATTTTTTAATGTTTATTTTATTTTTGAGACAGAGAGAGACAGAGCTTGAGCAGGGGAGGGGCAGAGAGAGGGAATCACAGAATCCAAAGCTGGCTCTGGGCTCTGAGCCCACAGCAAAGAGCCCGACGTGGGACTCAAACCCATAGACCGTGAGATCATGATCTGACCGAAGTTGACCGCCCAACTGACTGAGCCACCCAGGTGCCCCACATTAATCCATTTTTGTGTCCAATTAGATTGATGAGCAGTTCAGCTGCTCAGTGTTCTTCCACTTTGATTTTTTGCTGAGGCTTTTTAAATGTGCTATGTGTTGACTGATTGATGAATACGTATAAAACGTTCACTGCATGCCTACTGTGCGCCAAATCCTGAGCAGAGATACAGGGCACAGCTCTCCTTTCATGGAATTTAATCTAACTATAGGGACAGAAAATTAAGCAAATAATTAGGATACGGTGTATTAAGTGTCTGATCGGGAAAATCCTATGGGCCTTGGAGAATGTAGCAGGGACCTAGGAAGGATCGAAGAACATCTTCTGGGGGAACAGACTTGTAAATTGAGACCTAAAGATGAGTGGAGTTAACTGGGGAAGGACCAGTCTCAGCAGCCTTCATAATTCCTTTCTACTGTGCATATATATTTAGACAAGTGAGAAAGAGCTTCTTTCATAAAAATCAAGTTGGAAGATGGTTATTAACAGATCTCTTATCAAGAACTTCATTTGTCTCTCTCTTATGACCTCTGCCCATTTGGTTTTGTGTTGTGGCTACTTATATACACATCCAAAGGATCTCTGCAGGCTCTAGAAAGCCTTAGTTATCCCTGTATCTCTCAGAAGGGGGTTTTGCACATGAATTTGCTGAATGTTGAATCAAGGAATAGACAGATTCAGGGAACATTGGAAATCAAGGTTATGTCCCAAGCCAATGGGGAAGGGAAATAATCTTAATGTATGATGTTGACTCTTGAACTCTCTCTGGATTGTCCAGTGGCCTAGGTGTATGTGACCTCCCTGAAGTTTCTGATTCTTGGTCATTCTGCTCAGTTCTGCTCTTCTTCTTCTTCTTCTTCTTTTTTTTTTTTTGTCAGACTGACTGGATTTAGTCTGGAATGGCACAATGACCTGTTGTTCCCTCAAATATCTCACTCTACATTCAAGTTGTTATGATTATAGGCTTGTGCATAAATAGCTCATTTAACAATAACTTCAATCCTGTTTATTTCAACACAATTGAGAGCTTTCTGGTTAAGTGCTGATAGCACAAGGATGAGGGCCTAAGGCTACTAACAAGTATTGCATGCCAAGGGTGACACTGATCTAGAGATGGTGTGGCTGGGGTGGGTGGATGTGTGGGAAGTCTCACCATCAAGGTTTTGTACAAAGGTCTTCATGAGACCAAAATGGAATACGGTCTTGATTTAGGAGCTTCTAAGATACTTTTGACAGGAAGTAGGACCTAGCCCCTTGGGGGATTATAAACTCCTTCCTATCTTCCTTTCTTGCTAGTGGGTACAAAACCGTATTTTCTCCTGCTGAATTCTCTTTGGATCCTGGACTCAGTGGGGCTGAGGTCATTTGGGAGACTCCTACCCATGAAATTCTAGACTGATTATCTCTGCAGCTTGAAGGAATTGATGTGCCTCTGTGATACTGTAAAATAATAAGATATATATTTTTATTTTCTGGTCCCCAGTTTCTGGTACAGAGCTCCTAAAACTTATAATTTCTTGAATGATAGGGATGATAACATCTTATGTTATAATATGTTATATGTTGGTCTTAGTCCCTCCTTCCTGACAGAAGAGCTTCTAAGACCCTTGGAATCTTTGGCGTAAGAAGAGTGTCTTTTTTGTATGCTGATGCGATGGCTGATGGCTGGGGTCTTCACGATAGCTTCAGGATGGAGGTTGGTTGCCAGAAAGACCAAGGCATGGTGAGTTTTGAGATTTCATACTCATCCCCTGACCTCCGGGAAGGAGAGGGGCTCAGCAATGGCCAGTGATTTAGTCAGTCATGCCAACTTAATGAAATCTCGGTAAACACCTCTGAAACACAAGGTTCAGAGAACTTCTGGGTTGGTGAAAACATGGAGGTGCTGGGACGGTGGCAGCCTGTGCTTTGTCTTCATTTGGCTGTTCCAGAGCTGCATTATTAAAATCATAAATCAGTAATAGTAAACTGTTTTCCTGAGTTCTGTGAGCTGTTCTAGCAAATGATCTTTGACCCGGATGAGGGGGTCATGGGAACCCCTGATTCATAGCTGGTCAGTCAAAAGTATAGGAAGGCCTGGGCATTTCTTTTTTTTTTTTTTTTTTAAATATTTTTTTTTTATTTCTAGGAGAGAGAGAGAGAGAGAGAGACAGGGGGAGGGTCAGAGAGAGAGGGAGTCACAGACTCTGAAACAGGCTCCAGGCTCTGAGCTGGCAGTCAGCACAGAGCCCGACGCGGGGCTCGAACCCACGAACCGCGAGATCATGACCTAAGTGAAAGTCGGACGCTTAACCGACTAAGCCACCCAGGCGCCCCAAGGGCATTTCTTGTGACATTTGCAGGGGGGACGGTCTTGTGGGGCGGAACGCTTCACCTGTGGGGTCTCTTCTAATTCCAGACAGGAGTGGACTCCAGACCATGTCAAGACTGAATTGAGTTGTAGGCAACCAGTTGGCATCTGGAGATTTGAAGAATTGGTTGGTGTGGGGGAGGAAACCCCCCCATCATACATTTCATGTCAGAAGTGTCATGAATAAAAACAGTTCAGAACCTCCAAAAAGAACACTCAGATATTCTGTAATATCATTTTCAAGTAAATATGTTTTTTTTAAACATTCCTTTGGAGTCCATCACTTTGTAATTTGTGATATTTTGAAACAGTTGAGGCTAATTTTAATGTTTACAGTGTTTATAAAAAAGGGGGCTGATGTGTAGCAACATGGAGGGAACTTGAGGGTGTTATGCTGAGCGAAATAAGTCAGGCAGAGAAGGACAGACACCATATGTTTGCACGTATAGGAGGATTAGGCGGAACTTAACGGAGGACTGTGGGGGAGAAGGGGGAAAATAGTGGGGGAAAGGGAGGGAGGCAAACCATGAGAGACTCCTGAATGCTGAGAACAAACTGAGGGCTGATGGGGGTGGGAGGAGGGGAAGGGGGGAGATGGGCATGGAGGAGGGCGCTTGTTGGGATGAGCACTGGATGTTATATGGAAACCAACTTGACAATAAATGATTAAAAAAAAAAAGGGAGGGGTTGCTGCCAGTATCCAGCCTGGCCAGGTCAAGGGTCCTTGAAGGATGGACGGTGTCAGCAAGGGAGGGATGAGAGAGGCACGAGATTCTTCCTGGTCAACAGCCAGGCCTCTCCATACTGTCTGAGACTCAACTTTATTTTGTGATTTAGTGTTGGGGAATGGCACAGAAGTGACATTCTGATGATAAATTCTTTGATCAGTAAAAACTTTCCAGAACATTGATATGCATAGGTGTATGGAGAACAGCCCAGAAGTGGCATTAGCATAGTAAAGGCAAAAGTTAGTTCTTTGTGAGCAGGGGTCAATAGCCTGTTTATCACTTAATGGGAGGTATTAAGAAAAACAGGTCTTTCAGGAACACAATGTTGCCCCCATAACCACAAAAGAAGTTCCTACAGTAAGTTCCTTCACAAAGTGCAATCGGGGCACCTGGGTGGCTCAGTCAGTTAAGCGTCCGACTTCAGTTCAGGGCATGATCTCACAGTTTGTGGGTTCGAGCCCCGCATCGGGCTCTGTGCTGACAGCTCAGAGCCTGGAGCTTGCTTCAGATTCTGTGTCTCCCTCTCTCTGCCCCTCCCCTGCTCATGCTTTCTCTCTCTCTCTCTCTCTCTCTCAGACATAAAAAAGAACATTAAAAAAAAAATGCAATCAGCATATCAAGGCCAGAATGAGTCACTCCAAATACCAATCAACAAGGTGCCTTGGAAGTCATTACTCAAGCAGAAACAATTGGGTGGGGGTGGGTATCGGACACCATCTGATGGTAAGAGTCATGCAATTTACCTTAATCTCACAAGGAGTTTTTTCTCAATTTATGAGTTCAGAAATGGCTCCCAACAGGGGGGGCTGAACATAAGATAGTACAGAAAATGTACAAAAGGTTAATAAAATAAATTAGTAACAATAGAAGCAGGGAAAATTGACTTACTGCTAAGAAACAATACTTACTTTCTCATGAGGAGAAATCTCCTAAATGGAAGTCAGGATACTATATATTTTGTTAAAGCATTCTGGTGCCAACTAAATTTCACTAAGAGAGCCTCAGGACAACTAGTGTTGATTTCCAGGCTACAAATCACCTATCTGTGTGATACAAAGAGACAAATTAGCAATGACGTACATCTAATGGGTTATTTATTTCCAGAAGTAGTGAAAGCTGGAAAACCATGGCAACCAATGTAGTCAGAGATAACGTGAGAAGGACTTACACTCTTGGCAAAAGAATTGGAAAGAAAGAAAGAGAAAGAAAGAAAGAAAGAAAGAAAGAAAGAAAGAAAGAAAGAAAGAAAGAAAGATGTGAAAAGGTCTGAATCACTACAACTAACAGTTGTAGGCAATTTAATGTTTGTTTTCTTCCTTCTGGCGTAGGGTTTACATCCCCTCAGGAACAGTAGTTATAGTTAAGAGATATTTGTTGCTTCCCCTGCAACTCTTATTTTATAATTCTAAGCTCAGTGGCAGAGGCCCAGTCAGAAGCTCATGGACACATTTTCTAGTGAAACCAGTGTGAATCGCATGTTAAGGACTTACAAAGCAGTTAGTATGTGCAGTGTTATTCTTAAACTCTCAGATAATCTCCTTATTAAAGTCATCTCCTAGGATCTACATGAGCTCCATTAGGCTACAAGAAAAACTACTGTGTCAATTCACTTATTGGTAAACCACGTAACTGCCAAAGCTGGGTTTATGGATGGTGAAATTGTCACTTTGCTGTGAATGCGTAGTTGCAGTCATCTTATAACCCAACTATTGCTTAATCAGCCAGAGCAAACTGCATCCATTTGTTCAACAAATAATGGTGCAAACTTTCTGATTCAAAACAGGATCGTAATGACATGTTCAAATACCATGAAGCTCACCCTTTTTACTCAGATTCACTACTTGAATAAATACTTCTTGGATCATTGCAAGCCTTTGATTTATGGAGTTCTGAAAAAGTGAATTTTGACACGCATTTTTTGTTGCCAGTGTTCTCACTGCTTTTATGGAGGAAGTTCTTGCTCCATCATTCTTGGAGTGCCTTCCTCCAGCCCCTCCATGTTTACTTTGTGGATTTATCAGCATTAAAAGTCCATTAAATGGGTTCCTGTGCACCCACACAACTTTGCATGCATGAGGCAATGAGGCTGTGCGGCGGCTTGCTGTGAATGGCCTCTGGCAGTGAATGTCTAAGCACCTGCCGTTTCATCTGGAACTTCTCTTCAAGAAGAGCAAACAGTTAAAAGTCGGAAGGTGAGCAAAGGAAAGATCACTGCAAACAGCACTGGCCACATGCATAGGGTTTCTGAGTGAGTGTTGAATTCACTCGTTTAAACTCATGACAATTCAGAAAACTCAATAGCTAGAGCTCACTTTTGTTTCATTTCATAGTAGAAAAATGCATCGAATTATTAAAGTTCTTGTCCAGGTTTTCATTTTTATGGTAAATGTGAATACTTATGCTTAGTGATAGATGATGTACTTTTGTTTCCTCAGGTTTTCTCCCAGGATCTGCGCTCTTCTTTGCCCTGCTCTCTTCATGGACAGTAGATGAGGCTCAACCAGTGATTACCCCCCCATTCTCCTCTCCTTTAAGACCAGAGTAGCAAACCCAGAAAGTCTCATGTGAGTTGGCAAATACTTGTATAGGCAAATCGTTTTTGTGTTCATTAATTTCAAAGGACCAAATGAGAGAATCTAGACCAAAGGATGGTAGTGGTGTCAGAAGGCTAATCTGAGTTCGAAATAGGGAGATACTCTGACAACGAAATCTCTAAGCTCGACTTCAGCTGTCATCTCCAGTTTTCCTTATTTTTCTTGGTGGAAGGAGTTTTTCTTTCTGTAGCACTTGACCATTTCGGTCCATCTCCACCTTCTCATTTCATTATAGGTATTCATTTACATGTCTCTCTGTGGTTCTCAAGGGGGGGGGGGCAGGGTTTGTCCACCAGGGGACTTATGGCAATGTTTGCAGATAGTTCAGCTGGCACAGCTCTGGTGGAGAGTGTTACGGGCATCAGTGAGTAGAAACTATAGATATTGCCCAGATCGTGCAGTTCACAGGACAGCTCTCCACAGCAAAGAATGATCCCTCCCCAAATGTCAGTCAGTGCTGAGGCTGCGAAGTCCTGTCCTATGAAGTCAGGGAGCTGGCAGTGAGCTGTAGAAGACATGATAAATATTGGTCACAGAAGAGAATCTGTTCGTTTTTTATCTGCATCTTTGCAGATGCAACCCATGGTTTGAGGGCTTGAAATTACGTATTTCTATATTTTCCTGTCTTGGTTAGTCACTGAAAGGGAAATCCAGAATGATCAAACAGTCCTGTTTATCCCTATGAATAAATGTCAAAAATATACATGAAAAAAGCCAAGCTAAGAGGCCCTGGGGGCAAGGCAGAAAATGAAATCCATGTAAAGGCGTCATTCAGTCTTACCTTCGCCTACGGGGCTGGCGGTCATTGTTCATCAGAATGGGCACAGTCTTGTATCTGAGTCTGTTTTGCTCTTTGGTGTGGCTTTTGAGTGTGGACTTGATTTAATTCTCTTTGTTACAGGCAGAATCTCAAGATAGAACAGTGTGGAGACACACAGAGAGCCAGGCAGTCAGTGCTCAGACTGCAGAGGGATGGGAGGGAAGCTGTGAATGGAAGCAAAACTTTCTGCATCTCATTTATTCCCATGTGAAAAGAAACCATGTTCTTGCTGTTTGGACAGAAAAGGTAAAGGCTGTGGAAGAAGAGATAGCTTGTTTCTCCAGATGCTGTAGGCCAGAGATGGCTGTCTGAACACAGACTGCACTGTGGGGCATTACACATCCTGTTGATGTGTGTGTACACAAAGCAAAAGCAGAACTCAGAAATGTTTCTTGAAGGGGCTTGAGTATAAAGAAATTAATGAAGAAATGATTTGGGAAGAAGTGTGCGCTTGTGCGATAGTCCAAGTAATTACTATTTATTGAACGTTTGCTCTTTGCCAGGATCTTTGCTAAATGCACTTTTCATTTAATCTTCATGCTATCCCTGTGAGTTAAGAATGTTCATCAGTTTCTTACAGAAGAAAAACTGGGTTCAGAGAGGTCAATTAACTTGCCCGAGGTTGCAGAGCTTGTATGGTGGAATTAGGATTTGAGCCCAGGTCTGTGCTGCCCCGATTCAAGGGAAGAGCTTTGGTCCCTGTAAAACTTGAGAAGCAAGACAGTGGAGGAGGTGGAATTGAGTGGGGGGCTGCTTCAGTGAGCACCCCACATCCACTCTTTTCAGCAGAAACCCTAGGGGGTGTTGTTCCACCTGGTTTTCAACAGAGACAACAAAGGGATCAGATGACAATGATAGAATCTGTCCTCTGTAGTAAGAACTGTAGCTACACTACTGTACGTATGTGGTTTGTGACTCTTCATGCCACAGATGGTGAGTGAGGTCACAATTGCTGTCCTGTCCCTGTGTCACAGACTAGTTTTCAGTAGCTAATGAGGGCACTCAGTCCCTGTGGAACCTTCCAAGGTTTTCTGCAAGCCTTG